TTGTCCAAAATGTCTTGGTATGCTGATGCCTTAAGAGTTCCCTTCACTGGAACTAAGGGGCCAAGCCCAACCCCTGAAAAACCATAATCCCCCCTCCACCAAACTTTACAATTGGCACAATACAGTCAGGCAAGTACCGTTCTCCTGGCAACCGCCAAACCCAGACACGTCCATCGGATTGCCAGACAGAGCAGCGTGATTTGTCACTCCAGAGAACACGTCTTCACTTCTCTAGAGTCCAGTGGCGGCGTGCTACACACCACTGCATCCGAAGCTTTGCATTGCACTTGGTGATGTAAGGCATGGATGCAGCTGCTCAGCCATGGAAACTCATTCCATGAAGCTCTCTACACACTTGTGCCAATCTGAAGGCCACACAAAGTTTGGAGGTCTGTAACTATTGACTCTGCAGACAGTTGGCGACTCCTGCGCATTGTGCGCTTCAGCATGCGCTGACCCCGCTCTGTCATTTTACGTGGCCTACTACTTTGTGATTCACTAGGAAGCATGTATATACTTCCCAGGTACCTTCTATGGCGTTTAGAAAAGCTAAACAAAGGAGCACCAGTGTGAATGAGGCCTAAGGTGACTATGTGACAAAATAAAAAGAGACAATACCCGTCTGATATAAAGGGCTGGTGTCTATTGGCACCTATCAGCAGATCACCAATAAAAGGGAAAAAATTGAAAATGGTTTTGGAGCAAATTGACATTTCTTGAAACAAATAAAATATATATATATTTCTCTAAATACAGCTAAAGCTGACTGATGCCACTGAAAATCAATTCAATGCATTTATGAGCCTTAAGAAATGTGCTGTAGATGAATATAAACACAATTAGACACTGCCGATGTGACTGCGCCTTTATAGATTTGAAATAAGACATTTAGTTTACTAGAATTTGCTCTTACATGAATATTGGTCATCTTCAATCAGCTGTGTTCATCTGCCTCTTCATTCTTGGCTGGCACTAGGCATGGTTTATCTGGGAAGTAGTTTCCTTATATTTATTATTAAAGGGAATGCCTTTTAAGTGATGACATTTGTGTGTTAAAGACCAGGGCTAGAATGTGAAGGTTTGTATAGAGCATGTGACCGCTGTCAGTGAAGGGTGAATGTTGGAAGCATTGAAATTGTTTCTTTCAGCTGTAGGGTTCCAATGAACTGAAATGACCTTTATCTGTCTCTGCCCCCATCCCAGAGACAGAACAGACCTTGCAGACTCGGGCAAAGCCCCCCAGGCCTTTCTACGCCCTGTCACACCTAATATTAATGTATCCTTCCTGACCCCATTTCGCTCCTATAATTGCCGAAATGTTTTTCACTTGGCATTTTTCCCAAAATAAATCTTACTTCATTATTTTTTAGGGAACCACGCAGGCCGGTCTGGCACCATCACGCCATCCTTTGTCTCCTAATGGTCATGGACTGAAACAAATTACTTTTTTTTTTTAAACATATCTCCACATTAATTTTAGGCAGTAGTAAATTGGAGGAGAGGCACAGCCATCGTGTAGGTTTTATTTCCATCGTCATGTTCTGTGTAACTGTTTCACTCACAAAGGACATTTGAGATTTCCATTGAAGATATTTATTAAGAAGTATCTGAACGCAGACGGTTAGCGTTACAAACACTATACTGTGGTTCACAAACTTAATGCGTTTCCAGATTCTGGTCACGAACCGAATTGGTCGTGAACTGAATCAAACTGTGATCGGACCGCGATCTCGACTAGAGGAAGCCACGACCACTGTCAGATGGGTACCACTGTAATCGTAAATAGAATCTTCATAACCCCTAAGTATGTTATATCATTCATCACTATTGGGAAAGCAGCTTAGTGAGTACACCTGCTTACCTTTTTCATCGGCCTCCTGGGTTCGAGTTTCTGGGACCCTGTTTACCAAGTTACAGACAAACAATTAAACACACAGTTGAAATACATATTTGGGAGTTGTTTTGCCTGCCAAGGTGTTTGTAATTTAGTCTATGCAGTCCTGAGAATTACCTAATACTGAGAGACAGTACAGCAAGATTGTTGACCTGACTTTTGCTTGCCACAGTAAGGGCCGGTTCACACCACAAAGTCCGCATTCCAGTGGGTTTGGCCTCTGGAATGCAAGCGGGCCGGCTCCCTACATTCAGGGGCTGGAGGGGGCGTGGCGGTGCATTGAATTCAATGGCACCGCAGCCTCGCCCCCCGCCTGCAGTGCAATCGCCTGCACCCGGAACACAGGCACATTAGTGCAAGCACTATTTATGCAGATCGCACTGGACCGGAACGCAGGCACTAATGCCTGCATTCCGGGTGGGGGCGTGACTTCAATGCACCGCCCCGCACCTGCATGCAGGGAGCCGGCCGGCTTGCGTTCCAGAGGCCTGTTTAGCCGCCAACAAAAAATAATCAGCTAGTTTGTGCTGAGACTGCGTAAGAGATGCGGGTTTGAGATGCAAGCGTGCAAACAGATTGTTCCATTTTTCACACAGGTTAAAAATCTGAATTTTTGGGTAGAAAACGACAGTTGTATATTTTCTGAATGCAGAGGCCCCGTAGAAAAAAAAACCGGTAGCTGCCTTTTTTTGAATGTGTAAATATTAATGTTTTACACCCTAACAACAAACATTGTCTTAAAAGTAACCTGCTCCTTTAACTCTTCCCTATTCTATCCATTTAAAAAAAAAAAAAATTGCCTTTACGTACACTTTGAACAATTGGCACAAGTTGCACAGAGAAGCAGTAAAGGCAAACAAGGTGTGTACTGTAAACAAGATTCCACTTTTGCAAATACTCTTGCTGACGTCTGTAGTTTCCAGAAAAGCATTCTGCTGTTATCTGTTTACACTGTCATCATTCAGAACAATATTTTCCATGTGTCAAGGCTACACTCAAGA